CTGTTAAGGAGCATATTTACAGACAAATATTCAATACAGAATTTAATCTCAGCTTTTTCTCATCCAAAAAAGATAGATGTGATAAATGTGAAGAATTTAGAATGAAAGAAAGGTGTAATCTTTTAGATGAAGAAATTATTGAATTGAATAGAAAACATGTAGAGTCAAAACTTGCTACGAAAGTTGAAAGAGACAATGATAGACAAGGAACAGATATGGTTGTTTGCTTCGACTTGGAGAATGTAATATCATGTCCTAGAGCAAATATTTCAAGTTTCTTCTACCGCAGAAAATTAAGTGTGTATAATCTGACAGCTCATTGCTCTTCCAACTCCAGTGCTTACTGTGCTATATGGCATGAAAAATTGGCCGGTAGAGGCTCAAATGAGATAGCCAGTGCATTAATTGTCATACTCGAAAAAATCGTGGAAGAATACAATCCCAAAACAATCACGCTTTGGTCAGACTCTTGCGTTCCCCAAAATAGAAATTCAGCTATAGCATTTTCCCTTAAAGACTTTCTGCAAAAGCACCAGGTAGATGTCATTCATCAGAAATATTGTGAACCCGGACATTCAGCTATCCAAGAAGTAGATAGTATTCACAGCTGTATTGAACGACGACTTTCGCAACAAGAAACATTCAGTCCTCTTGGGGTGATGAATTGTCTGAAAACCTGTATGAGAAAACCAGTTACAATTATTCAAATGAGGGAGGGTCATTTCAAGAACTATCTGGAATCATCCAAGCTTCTAAACTTTAGAAGTGTACCATTTTCGAAAGTTAAGCAGATTTCATACCGTAAAGATGCGACATATCAAATAGAATATAAACTATCCTTCGAAGAAGGACACACTGCAAACAGTTGCTCCATACGTTCACAAAATATGAAGAGACGTCTTTCTTCACCAGAAAGGTGGCCAGCTGTTAAATGTATCCACAAGAAGATGCAACTTTCCCAAGAAAAAAATTAAAGATTTAAGAGCTATGTTAAAGTTTATGACACCAAAAGATAAAGTCTTTATGTCTAAATTGACTGAATAAGATGTTATTAATGATCGTCAAGACACTGATGTTTATATTGAAGTCTATTTCTTTTATATTGTTCATGTATCATCTATAGACTACATCATATGGAATGTATTTTAATGTTCTTAGTTGAGACTGATGTTGAAACTGATCTACCAGGAGTTCCAAGTTCCAAGAACCAGACATGCATGCTAATAATTTTTTCAATCTCTGTGTATTAAATGTCAGATATTACAATATTAGTAAACATTTAGTTCAATTAATCTGTTATTATTATTATAAAGCTGAATCGGTCAAGGTGGTTTTCATGGCCTCTAACTATGATCGAGTGAGTGAGTGAGAGAGAGAGAGAGAGAGAGAGAGAGCAAACATGATACCATTTTATTCTGATAATACCCATGTGCTTAGAGGGGTATAGTGGGGGAGGGGGGGCTTAGAAAACACACGAGGTTGGGTAAGCGAGCCAACTTTTTGTCACGTACAAGTCAAGTTTGGGTTCGAAATCATGCCACTAAATGACAGACCTTATAGTCTATAGCGAACACGTGAGCTTCCCCCTTCTTAAACACCCATAATTGGATAAAATTACCAGTTACATTTCCTGTGCATGTTCATATGCATATATAATGGACATAGAACATTTTGGATTTCAGTTTGAACGATTTCAGATTTAGGAAAATGTTCTATTTCCAAACAAAAAAATCGTTTTTTAGCTTTATTTCTCATTATTTCATCTAAAATTGATGCTCCAAATTCAGGTATAATTCATATGCATGTGATGTAAAATAATAAACAACTGATGGCCAATAATATAAACAAATGTACAGTGTCAAACATTTGATCTCATTTTTCTCAAAACAGAGGTAATTGGAAATAGAACAATATGGTTTTCAGGCGACGTACTATATAACAAGATGGTGTCACTTTACCTTGCCCTTAAATTACATGATCTGGCTTACCCACAAAACTGTTAGTTAGATATGTGGAGAATGATATGTATTGTTACTGTTGTTACAAGAAAGATGACCACCACCTTCCTTGCATTATACTGAGTTAATTTTATATAGTGGTATTGGAACTTTTTATTGGTATTACTCTAAATTATTCGTAATGCTATTAATTATATAATTATGTCACACGTATAATGTTAATAAATATAAAATATCAGCGACATGAATTTAAATGATATACTAAATATGATAAATAAATTTGATACTGAACGTAGTGAAATGAAATGTGATTTGACGTCCTACTGTTCAGCTCCGATATCGCTAATGAACGAAGTAGTGTAAATGATGTATTGGCAGCTGATAGAATATGCGACTCAAACCAAGACCCTTATATTGGCGAAATCGTTGATCATTGATGTATTAAACAAGATGGTTTCGAATCCCCGGTTGTACGTGACAAGGAGTAGGGTCGCCTGTCCAACCTCGTGGGTTTTCTCCGGGTCCCCCGGTCCCCCCCCCCCCCACTGCTAAAGACCCCTACGCGCAAGCGATTTAGTGAAATAAAATTGAACCATGTGTTAGTCCCGAAATGACCTAGTTTGTGTTGAGTGGAGGGTAAACCCCATTTCTCTCTCTCTCTCTCTCTATCTCTCCCCCTCTCTCTATCTCTCTCTCGCTCTCTTAAATACATAATCACGTATTGTCGGTAGATATAATGTAATTGTTCATTTTTATTTTCTTCCATCAAACTGTACAATAAATATATTATTATTAGTAGTAGTAGTACTATTATTTTCAACTCATATCAATTAGGCCCCAAGTTCACAAAGCTTTCTCAGACGTAAGTTAGGTATTTGGTCAAAATTTTAACTAAAATGTAGCCCTTTATAAAACCATGTGCAAAGTTTTTGTGTTTCTGGATCAAAGATATTTCTCATAAACAGTGATTGAAAGTTGAGTTGAGTTAATTCGTAACTCAAGTCTGAGAATGCTTTGTGAACTCGGGGCCTTGTATTTCATACTAAATTGGGGAAGCTCGCTGATGAAAGAAACAACACAAGATATTCGCAGAACAGCAGAAATGAAATGAAACTTCCTGAAATGTGGACCCCCCCCCCTCACATTCCAAACTATGGCATATATATAGGCTTTAGACCAAGAATAAAGGGACTCGTACTTATTTAAAGATCAATAATGGCCTAAGAGATGACAACGAACGTATAGACTTGTTTGAAAGTCTCTGGATAGCTGCAGGGCCTGGCTGTGAACCGTTAGAGAGGGGGTTAACTGCACTGATCCGTAGTGAATATTCGCTAGCCCGCGACAATCACTGATAAGGATGACATCAATGCGAATTAATGGGCCAGAAATATTAACTTTTTTCCTCCGACAATCTAAATTCTAAAACATTTTTTTTCATGTGTTAGAAAAATAAATAAAGACGTTTGAAGTATTTGCAGGTAAAAATTATTACCTATTTTAGTGTAAATGGGTATTAAAATCAGTAAAAGGCGCCATTCTGTTCGAATCAGTAACGTCTTATGTAAACAATACACGCGCCATTGAGCCAATGATTGATGCCGCGTGATATGACGTCATGTGTTGAAGGCAGTCATCTTTTACAGAGATATTAGAAGACTTTCGTGATACTCTGTGAAACAGATTGGGGTTAACCTGAATGCATACTAATCTATTATAAATCAGTAATTCTATTGTGTTGTTTTATCAGCCCTTAAAAGTACTTATATTCTATGTCACATAAACAACTCGTATTTCCCGTTTTCAGTGCCGCTTGGAAAGCTTCATTATCCTTCATCCTTAGGTCACTAACATTTAGTCATTTTTCGTACCCCTGTTGTTAAAAAGACAAAATAAACTTTAACACCCACTCTCCTGCTGAAATGGATGCTTTTATTAATTGCTATGGCTACAATTGTGCGTAACTTTAACCACAAAATGTGTTCAAATTCAGGATTCTATTTACTTACAGAAGGATAGATAGTTGGATCCATGGGACGATTTGCCAATAGCTGCAAAGACGTATGATATGAGTTATCAAGTAGAATTTAAGCAAAATGTGCTAATAACTGCTCAAGACGATGGCTCACTTAGCACAAGTGGTCCGATGACTTTTCTTACCTTCCCCAATTCCTTGTTGCCTGCCTCCACCCCTTTCCTTACCTTCCCTGATTCCTCGTTGCCTCCTTCCCTAATCCCTTGTTGTCTGCCTCCACCACTTTCCTTACCTTCCCTGATTCCCTTTTGCCTCCTTCCACCCCTTTCCTTACCTTCCCTGATCCCTTGTTGCCTGCCTCCACCCCTTTCCTTGCCTTCACTTTCCTTGTTGCCTCACTCCACTCCCTTCCGTACCTTTCCTGTGGTGTCTTGAGCTTAAAGTAGCTAAGTCTCTAACTCAGTATCATCCAAAGTCTTATACGTTGAAAATACGAATTATTTGTCAATTCAAATCAACATTGATGTTGTGATCTTACCAGGAAAAGGCAGGCTTCTGATATCCAATATTTAAGACAAAATAAACATTTTACCATTATTCGTGTACCATAGTGCGTTTTAGCGTCATTTGCAATAAGTGACCAGAAAGAACGAGGCTAGACATATTCAACTGGAGAGCCTGTTCAATAGACTGGAATAACCAGACGTTAGAAATATCTATAGGGTTGAGACACATGCCTTATTTCGCTGGACATAACTGATTTGAAATTAAGAGTCAAAACGGAAACAATTGAATGTAAATCAGTTTATATACAATCAGATTACATTATTATATGCGTTGCGACCCATTTGGGTCAATTTCTAGGTCCTAAATATTAGCGATTTAGCTCCTTTAAATAGTGACTTGGTTGTGGGGAATGCCGTTTGTATGGATTATATATTCCCGGGGTCGAGGTGTATGGTTTATACATTCAAGGGGTCGAGGGAACAAATTTGCAATAAGGACATTCTGTCACAAACATTACCTCTAACCCATTTGGCGTTTGTATTATAAAGAAAAAACAGACATGACTTTCAACTTTTTATTTATTTTTTAAACAAAAAAGGGTATATTTTGGTAAAATAGAACACTTTCAACTTTTTATTTATTTTTTAAACAAAAAAGGGTATATTTTGGTAAAATGGAACACTATCATAATTTCAAAAAGAAATTATCCCCCAAAAAATTGTGTTAGAAGAAAATAGATTGTTGAAGCGTCTGAGATTTAAACATTACAATTGCAGGTCTTGGCACCGGCGTTGATAATGAGACCTTTCTGTTGGCAGTTGGAACAGCAGAGTTTCAAGCCGTTCACACCTCCAACATAACCTGGGTCGCAGCCGTTACACTGACTTCCCTTCCAACAGTCCCCAGTCCAGTCGTCACCACTTGGTGCTGTAGGTTCAGCTACAATACATACATTTGCAAACGTTAAAGAACAACTTATTAAAATACAAATTGCTAACCAAATACGCAAAATACTAAAGCCACCAATTTGCAAACAAGATTTACAGAATAGCTGGTTCAAAGTTATACCTGGCCCATAATCGTTCACATAGTCGTTTACAACCAGTGTCACTTTCTAGACCATCCTATATCACTTGTTATCAGATAAGTCTAGACCACCCTGTTCAAATTTGACAAGATCATTACTTTCAAAGAGAAGATGGCACCTGCTAATGTAAAGGGAGAAGGAATAACTCCAGAACTATTTCATTTGTAGAGTAAAAGACTTTTAGAGGGTTTTCACAATCGCCGAAGGCAATATTTTACCTATTTTCAATCATCTGTGAGTTGATCCAATTAGTGATGACGCCAAATGGAAGAGTAAGGTCAATTAGAGCTCAATCTGATTAAAATACAGATCTATAATTCGTTTCGTTTTTTTATACTTTCGATACACTACATGAAGATCTGACCAGTTTTACTGAAAGGTCGCATTAGGGGGTCGCACGAGCGACTTTTGGCCCTATGATGTCAGACATTGATTAATCAATCAGCGTTGACGTTTCTAGTGATTTACCCACAGTCCGTGCATGGCACGACAGATGGTTTCATTGGCTAATACCTCACGCCATCCAGAGCGCATGCTACATAACAACTCTTCCAGATCCTAATGTATTCTTGTCTACGATATCACTCCTGGTGGAAGTGGACGTACAACTCTAGTAACTAAAAATGAAATGAAATGAAATGGGGTTTAACGTCCTACTGTTTTGCTCCGAACTGGGCTAATGAAGACGGGCATACGCCATACAGTGTGCTATGAGGGAAATTTTGCCTGGACAGCGGCACTACGGCCTACTCTTATATCGAATTCCAACTGTCAAGGGATCTTTTACGTGCACGCCAATGTGTACACGGGACCTCGGTTTTTCGTCTCATCCGAATGACTAGACAGCTGTCCTTGTCAGGCCCTCCGTCCTGCATCTCTAGTAACTAACTAACTAACTCCTCTTGTAGTATAGGCAAATAAAACGAAATTTTAAACTATAAAAAACGAAACGAAATAGGAACTGTGCTTTAATAAGATTGGTTAGAGCTGCGAATCTTTTCCGCACCTCATAAAAAAATACCTTTCCATCCTTAAATACGACAAATACAAAACCTTGGCTGCTGGTGTGGTACACGAGGCAGGGTATGCTTACATAACTCCTGATACCACTTGGTATTAACCTTACTATTGTAATTCTAGATAATTTGAATAAATATCCAAAATTATTAACATTTGACGGCAAAATGTTTTTCTCTTTGTTTTTTGGTTTTTGAGTAAACAAATAATAAATCAACAATTACGCGATAATAATGTCGTCGATTGGTAGTGTTATGGAAAGGGCGAGATTTCACAACGCCACTATAAACTTCCACTGACCACTGTATGGTTTGATTGAAATATGTCAAATATTGAAGTATTTATTGGTCATAGTTTTATCTTGACTTGACGTGGTGTGGGGCTTCGCGTCCGCTTCCACCTAGAGTGGTATCACAGACAAGTGTTTCCTGGGAAACTTGGCAGAGGAACCAGTCTTATGCAAGGGACTCGCCTCGCGTGTTTTTGAGAAAAGATATTTTATCGCTTTTTTAAGTTAAAGTTCGAGACGTGCATTTTGAGTAACAGCGGTCTAGGAAACTTGACAGAGGAACCAGTCTCATGCAAGGGATTCGACTCGCTTGGTTTTGAGAAGAGTAATCGATTGAAATTTTATCGCTTTTCTAAGTTAAAGGTTGAGACGTGCATTTTGAAAAACTGCGTTCTAGTTGGTGTTAATACCCAGACAGATTCCATCCAAAGGCTTTGACTGGGTTCAAGTACTTAACGCCGTAGATGAGATGGTATGCGTGCGTTGTCTTGTCCGCGTGTTGCCATCATGGCATCGATCTAGAGAGGACTTGATTAATATGGAGGTTTAGACTGGATGGCACTTGGGTACCCCCCCCCCCCCCCCGCTACTTCTTCACCTCTCATTCACCTGCCTAATCTCTACATCTTTATCTAGAGCAGTGATTCTCAACCAGTGTATCTACGGTTGTATGCCGTCTATGACTTGCCATGGTTTTATTTTGCAAAATTCAAATAACTTTCATATATATTTAGCCAGGCGTGCCGCTATTTTTCATGTGTTCTAAAATGTGCCGTTGATCTGTTGTTGTTGTTCTTCTTCTTAGTGTTTCGTCCGATTCCACCGAAGGTGATATCGCAGACGAGTCTTATTTTTCATTTATATTAGGTCGAAGCGCAGCACTCTAGACCACTAAGCCATCCCAACCTCCTGGTCACTGATCAAGAGGCTAATTCATTTTATAGTCTGATAATTAGGTCGATTACGTCTCGCGATACATGACACAGCTTCTATTGATTGAAAGAGATGTTAATATACTTACTACACTGACAGTCATAATTCTGCGTACCAGGAATCCTAACTATCCTGGTGACTCTACCAGTAATAGTGGGACAACAGATCTTCATTCCGTTAAGTGCAGAAGAGCTCAAGAGGGCTTTAATCCCTGTACATTGTTCACCGCGTTCACAATTCCCCGTAATACCTACAATAACAACCAAAATAAATCTAATACATTACACGATTTCTTTAATATCTTCTCACACACACCAATTACCATCACCCTTTTCCCAGGACTCGTGTTCCAATTTCTCCGAAACGTCATTATAAGTCTGCTTGGCTTGAACGAAAAACTTTTTGTGACAAATTGTGATTGGTTATCCAAACACTGAAACAGGTACAAAGTCATAAACATGACCTGTAAAATTGTGAGCCAAGGGAGGTAACTGTGGCTAGACACAAGTGGGGAAATATTACAATCGACCTTAACCCGCATGGTTTCTCACTTAATGTATGACAATTTCTCGCCTCCCCAATCATTCGACAGTTGACAACAATATAATACGTAGGATGCATGTTAATGTCACAAAATGTTGCGTTACGAATAATGTCAAATGTCCCGTGACTACACTGCGACTATCGGTCGGGTGTGCAAAATAATGCGAAATATAAAATCTTACCATCAATAAATAGTTTCTACTTACGTGTAAAATCGCACGTACAAAAAGCACCATGCGTAGCATTAATTGCACTTCCTGTTCTTAAATGCCTGCTGCAGGTAATACCGTCTTTTGGGGGACAACATACGTTTAGGTTTCTAGCAGGTCCGCCGGGGGGAACCACGTTGATGCTATTAGAATTACACGTACATCCAGATGTTTTACAGTTAGCTGAAAAAGAAGAGACATTCAAACTGTATTATGTGTGGACGCTCCAACCACTCCCCATCCTGTTGTTGTCTAGGACTCATGTACGATCGAAATGAAACTGCGCATGCTTGTTCTTTGGACAACTGCACATCATTTGACGAGCTTCGATTATTAATATGACGTGACAATTCCAAAATGACTGCGATGACGTCATATTCATTTCATGTGTCATAGTACGTTGGTACTTGTTGATTTAGAAAATGTATAGCGATAATCGCGCTAAACCTATACTTGAGATGTTTCATCCTTGAATATCACATTTGATGTCGCATCCCCGTGCCCTATAATAAGATACCGTATCGCTGTATTTGGGTATACCTAGATGTAAATTCGTACATGTTGGATTGATGTGTATACTTGCACAAAAACACGTCAAATCGTTGATAGAAGAACTGGGCCCTTATTCACGAAAACTTAAACTAAGATACAATCGAAATTTCGATTGTATCTTAGTTTAGGTTTTCGTGAATAAGGGCCCTGGAGATAAACATAACTAATCGAGCAATGTGTGGATGTTCGTATGAAATTTGAAATTTACCCCCCCCCCCCCCCCCAAACACACTTATCAGTGTTTACATCACCAAACCGCACCAAACTATTGTTATCCAATTTGTGTCCTAGCAATAGTTCCAATATAACTCAGCAGCATTGTGGAATAAACTACTATCAGATTGTAAAGATACATCAACCGTATTGCAATTTACGAGTTTATTTAAAATAAAACAACAAAAACCTGTTTAAAGAATATTATGATATACATAAAAGCTACCAGGACCGCATTAGACTTTTTGTAGTGCTGTGACATTAAGTATATGGAGTGAATTTTTAGGTCTTGACATGTGAATTTTTTAGTGTTGACATATGAATTTTTTCGTCTTGACATGTGTATTTTTTTTGTCTTGACATGTGAAAAATAATTTTGTTGAATTGTTTATAAAAACCGAATATAGTGGTAAAATATTTTCGTGAACAGTATAAATTGACTTGAGTATAACAAAATACACGAGCAGCAATGGAAAAAAAATAATCTTTATTGAATCTTTATACGTCGTTTTGAACAGAAAAAAAATGCTTTTAAGGTGATGAAAAAATTGTTATATACTCGATTTTTTCTCTTTCCATGCAGAAAAACGGCCTTGCAATTAATTCCGCTTTATATGTCGTTTTGAACAGAAAAAAAAAATGCTTTTAAGGTGATGAAAAAATTGTTATATACTCGATTTTTTCTCTTTCCATGCAGAAAAACGGTCTTGCAATTAATTCCGCTTTGGCTTGCCATATCAGCGCCTTATCATTTGTATTATATACCAGGAACCGACTATGGCGTCATCTTGGAATTGTGACGTCATCAATCTAATTAAAATATAGATCTATATTTCGTTTCGTTTTTTATACTTTCGATGGCCTACACTACATGTGTAGTAAAGACAAGTAAAATCGAAATTTTGAACTGTAAAAACGAAACGAAATTGGATCTGTGTTTTAATCAGATTGTGACGTCATATATCAATACAATTTTGTCAATCAAAGCGCAATTGTCTAATGGACAAGCATATTATATTTCATGTCGACTATACTGAAATTAACGCAGCACTGGGATTTTGTTAGTGCGTCGCCCCCAGAAGAAGAAATAAAGGGTTGAAAAATGTACGGCAGAACAGTTTCAAGTACTTACTTCCCTGACCACGAGTAACATCCACCACTAAACAGACAGTTACCAAGACAAAACAAATCAAGCTGACAGAGTTCATCTTATATACTATAACAAAAATATACAAAAACGTTTATTATTAAAATCTACAAACAGCAAGTAATACGCAGTTTTTCATTTTTATATATTCCTTCCCTTGCAAACTGTCATGTTTTGATAGTTGAATCTCGAATAGAGAGAGAGAGAGAGAGAGAGAGAGAGAGAGAGATGGTTTAACGTCCACTCGATACAAACTAGGTCATTTCGGGACTAACATATGGTTTAATTTTATTTCAATAATTCGCTTGTGTGTAGGGGTTTTTAGCAGTGGGAGGAAACCGGAGAACCCGGAGAAAACCCACGAGGTTGGACAGACGACCCTACTCCTTGTCACGTACAACCGGGGATTCGAATCCACGCCAGTCGACTCAATGACAGACTTTATGATACAGCGCGCGCACGCTAACCATTCAGTCATCCAACCCCCCGAATCTCGAATAGAAATGAAATGAAATGGGGTTTAACGTTCTACTGTTCGGTCCAACAATTGTTGAATTCCGTTTAGTATTTACAAATATATGATGAATTGGAAATTCTAGCAATCTATATATTATTCTGCTCCCGATGTAACAATCCCAAATTAATGGACCTGTTTTTAATCGGACGGAATCCAAACCGTGAGATTATCTACAATAATTTTACATTTTTATAGAAATTCATTTCACTGCAGAAAAGGGTTTCCGTGAAAATAAACCGATTCCAAAATTGAGTTTCCTGTAATTTGAATAACTAATATGAAAGAATAAAAGAATTTTTATATAGAGTTTAAAGACCCACCATGCCACAATAAAGGTTAAATATGGAGTTTAAAGCCTCCTCATGCCAGATTATGGCCTTTAAAACCCTGTTATGTCAGAGAAAACATTAAATGTGAAATTTAAAGCACTGCCATGTTGTTAAAGTTGTTAACTATGGAAAAAATCTCACATTCTCTTATTTTTTGAGTTTTGGAGAAACACGCGCGCACAATTCACTCTGTAAAAATTAATTTAAAGCCCGAGGTATTACTATAAAAATAAATTCTTTCAGCTAGAGTAATTTTTAGAAAGTAATCAAAATACTATATGTATTCTCAAACCAAACACTGGGTCAGAAATAAATTGACGTGCAATTTCCAAAAAGCGAACAGTAAAATATATGGAATAAACAACACTTACTGAAGTCAGTAGTATCTGTAATAGTTTCCTGTTGTGTATATATCACAGCTCGCGCTAGTAACGTGCTTATATACCAAGCTACACATCCTGTTCACCGTATACGTAATTCGTCTTCTCTGAAAAATAGACGAATTGCGAAATTTCCCTTGTTTATTTGTTTGTTGCATAGTTCAAGGTCAGTCCGTCGAGCCCATCGTAATGTTTAAAGTAGCTAAGTCTCTAACTCAATATCATCCAAAACCTTCGACAATGAAAACACGAATTATTTGTCAATTTTAATCAACATTGGTGTTGTGATCTTACCGAAAAAAGGTGGGCTTCTGATATCCAATATTTAAGACAAAATAAACATTTGACGATTGGTACACGAATCGTGTACCATAATGCGTTTCAGCGCAATTTGTAACAAGCGACACGAAGAACGAGGTTAGACATATTCCACAAGTCATGTCAAACGGTGACCCCATATTCTTATCTTGAGAACATGCGCAATAAATACCATCGGTGTAGACTGGAATAACCAGACGCTAGAGATTGCCATTGGATTGAGACTTCTGGCATTTTTCCCAAATATTAGCGATTTAGCTCCTTTAAACAACCACAAATTGCAACATAAAACTGTCACAGCGCATGAACCAGGATCCGTGGAACCGACGAATCTGACATATTAAGTATTGTTAATATTTGATGGCTACAGAGATAACAGAACGCAAATTAAAAACGCATAATTCTCAATAGTTAAATATTTGATATTCGTTGGTTCGCCAGAAGGCGACGATATAAAGTATATGGCGTTTAGAGCCTTATTATTTGTATTATACACCAGGAACCGACCATAGCGTCATCTTGGGATTGTGACGTCATAAAACAATGTTTAAACCTCGACACATTCCAACATGAATGATTCCAACTGCATTCATTTATTCCTAAAATGAATAGCATTAGGCGAAAAGGGTCAAATGTGAGAGAGCGAAAGAAAGAGAGAGAAATGGGGTTTAACGTCCACTTGACACAAACTAGGCCATTTCGGGACTAACATATGGTTTGATTTTTTATTTCAATAATTCGCTTGCGCGTAGGGGTCTTTAGCAGTGGAAGGAAATCGGATGACCAGGAGAAAACCCACGAGGTTGGATAGGCGGGGGGTCAAATGTACAATTACCGATAAAATATAAATCTGGATATCTAGGTCATTGCGCTAGATTATCCAGTATTATATGTTATAATGTATGAACTCTAGTTCTGGGCATATCACTGAGTATATCATCTACTGTTTTCAGACAGAGGGTCTAATATAAGGGTAAATAGCCCCGAAACAAGATGGCGATGTCCATGTAATTATTTTAAAAATTGTCATTGAAGACAAATCTATATATATTATTTTTATTAATCCGTTTAATCGACGTCAAGTTTCATGTTTGTGTATAATAATACATGGATAATGTGATTTATGTGATAATGTGATACGGGACGCAACATTAACATTTTTTTGTTTTTACCCCCACTAAAAAGTTCCAGTGCCCATGCGTAAATCACAGACTCTAAACTCATTTCCCCATAACAAAATTCTCGAGACAAATTTTAACACAAAATATTTTTTTGTGTAAACCATATTTTATTTAAGAAGGATAAAAATGATCAGATGAAAACAGGTATAGCGTATATCACCCCTCTCCACATACAAGCAATATAAATTATATTATACACAGGTCTGCTATGTACATAATATGAAATAATGGGAAACAGATGAACTGAGAGAGAGAGAGAGAGAGAGAGAGAGAGGTTATTTCGGCACTAACATAATAATATGGTTCAATTTTATTTCAATAAATCACTTGCGCGTAGGGGTCTTTAGCAGTAGGAGGAAACCGGAGGACCCGGAGAAAACCCACGAGATTGGATGGCGACCCTACTCCTTTTCACGTACAACCAGGGAGTCGAAACCACGCCAGTTGACTCAATGACAGACCTTATGGTACAACGCGCACGTGGTAACCATTCGGTCACCCAACCCCCCGAACTGAGATAGAGAAAATCAATTGGATCAGAGAACAGGCATAGTTTATATCACCCCTCTCCTGTCGCCATACAAGGAATATGAGACATAGTATAAACAGATCTGCTATGTACACAATCGGTGTGTCCGATTGTCAAGCAAAGAATATGTCAAGCAATCAATTGATACAGAATTAAGCCATGCCACAGTTCTTTCAGCCCAAACAACGCAGATGGTCACTCGGCAAACCTCGGCAGATTCCGGTACCCTACATCTAGCCTCGGCTGTATGACAGTAAGTGATATCATAGAACTAAATTTAGTTCTATGGTGATATGTACCTACGCCTATACATTTGCGGTGCGGCACCGGTTTACTTATACGGGAAACTTGCCCGCGTTTAGAAAGGAGTTCTCAAAATTGCGTCGTTCGAAGAGTGTGTAGAATTTTCAGTGCAAATTTGTCCTTGTCTAAAGAAAATCGGATAAACTTGAAAGAAAAACAGCTTCAAACTTTGAAAATTTTGTAAGATAAAACATTCTTCAAATATGTCGTCATCAATGACGTCATTGGTCGTCATGGACAACGCCATTGTAATCCGGAAACTTGAAAGTAGTTCTAATGGCGGACTTTGTCATACAGCCGAGATTAGATGTAGGCATAGAACTAGAATACATGATCTCAAGGGTTTGCCGAACCTCAATCGAGTTTAACCCCAACAAGGAATATTATACATCAAAACTGTTCATCAGTACATGCATCTGCCTGTGCATTTTCTAGTATAAGTTTATCATCATTTGGAACAAATGGTTAAATTACTATTCAAGATAACTAATTTAAAAAACAGAAACAACAATATGTGGTTGGAATGATCCAAGGCTCTGTTCAAAGATATTTTATTCACATGACAGTGATGCTTGTTAAATAAAACTTGTGAATTTAACAGATAATGACCATTGATAAACACTAAAGGCAAATAGAAATGCACAAAAAAATCCATAAGCTTATGATATTAATGATTAAACTTACATCCCACTTCTACTCGTTGCCACTGGCAACCTTTGATAAAACTGTCCTGTTTAATTTGCAATACATGCTTAAAAGTATCAGAAATGTACAGAAAGAGTACTGATCATTTCTGATACACGGATACTTTTATACCGTTTTAGATATCTATCAAGCAATAAGTAGCGGACGTTTAGTCCGACCCAGATCGCAATTGATAACGAGGCTCTAACCAATGTACATGAAACAACTATCAAAATCATAGTAACAAAACAAAATGGGGGGAACTACATGGCAGTTCAAAAACATATACAATGACATTAAATTAACATAACAACATATTACAAAAATCAATTATTATACATACCAATTGGCATCTATTTCATAATTTGGTTTGATTTATATTAATATGCAAAATATATAAATTAGAATATTCAATAATTATTTTAATTAATTGTGATGATAGAAGGCGCAGTTCTCTTGCTGGACACTTCACAGGCTTTGAAAATAAGCAGGATGAAAAAAAGACGCCTATAAAGTCATAAACTTTATTACAAATAAATTTCAACGGAAGAACCATCCGCCGATGCATACTTTCACCAGGAATGACCCACGTTTCGCATTTCCTTTACACTACATTTAATAATATCGCAGTCCTCTACGCCATATAGACATTGTTTTGACGATGTGTTCTAAACAAACACGTGATTGTTTTACGCTCAGAGTATCATAGCAAGACGCACGTGTGAATACTACTCAGGTCGTCTCTCCACTGCGAAATCATTCTACCATGAAATGTAACCTGAGGCTCAGAAAGGGATAAATAATGAAAGAACAGAAAGTATTTGTCACTTTTCGGTTGAAACGACTCGATAATAAATACTATTTTTCACATTTTGCTTCACAATACTCGATAGAAATGTGATGTAAGTAACTTATTAGCACCTTTCCTCGGCGTATCGGTGAATATCAGGACAGTTTTGGTCGGGAGCCGCCTCGGCTGGGCCCCTCGACCAAAACTGTTCTGATATTCACCGATACACCTCGGAAAGTGTGCTAATAACTACTACATACATTATGCAAGAGCTAAATCTGCCTATTGCAGGTTTTCTTTAGGCCTGAAATGTTTTCTAAATTATTAATTAGACATTAATTAACTTATCCAGGCCCTAATCAACTCTCGATGGCATCGGATTTCTCCAATATTAAATAGATTAGAACAGTTCAGCCATATTTTGATTTAAGCTAAAAATGGAGGAGTGAGACTTTACTTCGAACAACCAGTACGATGGTTGAAATTATTGCACACGTCTTGTCAAACCTTCAAAGGCCTTCAAAGGCTAATATCTTCGCTCGCAATAGAGTAATTTGAATGAAATTTTCAAATTATTCATTTTACATTATTTATCTTCGAACTATTATAGCAAGAATGGCTAGCTCTTTATCAAAATCTTACATAATGTATATTTAAGAATAATTTAATACATTTATAAAGCTCACACATTACAAGTAGTGCACCTGTATAAAATTTGTTATCATTGTTAATATTTTATACTGAGATGCAATAAAAATAATACATCACTTTTATAAATGGATGAATGTAAATCTTATTTGAAATGAATCCAGGTTTAACGCCCTACTTAGTACTTTTCAGCTCAATTTTGTTTTAAAGATTTGCTTTAATCTTGCAATTAAGGATGTAACAACATCATATTACGATGATAACATGTGAGAATGTTTTGAAGATTGCGTAAACGCACCCCGAACAATTCTCAATCAAAAAAATTAAACCCAACAGAATCAGTATGTTGATTTTTCTGGTACACGTCGGGTATATAATGCAGCTTTTAAAAAGCTAGGTTTTGTGCAACTATGGAAGGTGCAAAGTTATGCCACGTCATCTCAGAGGTGCTATTTCATTGCGTCTCGGTATATTTTGTTTACAATTATCAACCTGGCCCCAAGTTCACAAAGCATTCCCAGACTTAAGAATTTGCTCAAATTTCAATCACTGTTTTTGAGAAATAGCTTTGATCCAGAAACACAAAACTTTGCACATAGTTTCTTATTGATATATTTACATTAAAACAACAATAGTTAGTAAAGTGCTATATTTGAGTTAAAATAAGACAAACAATTTTGAGTAAAACCTTAACTTAAGACTGAGAATGCTTTGTGAACTTGGGGCCTTGTTTTCTTTTCATTACTTATTAACTACAATACAGTAATAACAAGAAATAAAAAATCTGTAGAACACTGCTGATTAAGTTCTAGATTTAATCCTAGATTCAATCACATTTATATTTTTATACTTCCAATATTGATATTAATTCCAATAGATCCAGGAAATGTTTAGTTTAATTATACACTTTCTATTTTGTTGTATGAAATTATCTGTATAATCTGTGTTTTTGTTACTTTCATTGTGTGAAATGCTTGCAGCAAAGTGCTGTAAATAAAATACCTGGCATCACTGATCACAGTTTAACTCTATAACTTCTCATTTGACCTCAAATCTATGTGGAGTCGAGTCAGTTGGAAGAAATAAATCAAAATGGAGTGAAATCTACATTTTAATCAAATTCGTACCACATGATTATATTCTATCACTTTTTGCTCGTTTATATGGCAACTATATATTATTGCTAAGCTATTTTTGAATTGTAAATTACATTTACAAATATGTAAATATTGATTCTTTTAATTATATATTGTCAATCAAAATCTGAATATGCAATGTGCTATGTAGCCATATATGTGAAATAAACTATTATTATTGCTATTTACTTTCTCTGTAAATCTCTGTTAATCTGTCGACAACTTAAACAAATTTCTTTTTGAGTGTCCTCAAAAAAACTATTACATACAGAAGCAAGTACACAGCTTTCGTAATTTATATGTTGACTTATTTGTGTTCATGAAAAGATCAACCTGTCTGATATATCTTACAGTTGTAGGCTGACATTGAGAATAAGACTGTAAATGTTTTGATGTTATGCCCCCACATATCTTCATATTCTCAACAGTTCTTATAAGTAAATCTATAAATGTAACTTTAATTTGAACAGGAAACAAAAATTATTATATTGTACTTCACAATTCAAGTCCTTGTCAATGGTTAAATGGTATGTTACACTTTTATCTTCAGTTTTAAACAGATAGATATAATCACTTGAAGACTGACATAGCCACAAAGCAGACATTTGACATAAAAATGATTTCTGCAACATCTGAAAGGTTACTTCGTTCATATGTAAACATTGAGTTTCCTCGGTTTTCCTTGGACTCTGAATAAAATAGACAAATTCATAAAATTCAATTAAAACAAGAAGAATTGGATTCTCATACATGTATTCATAATTTTCTCGGTTTCTGAATAAAATCGAAAAAATTACAAAAGTAAATATAAAGAAGAATCGGATATTCATACAAGTATTTATAAATAAAATTATGGGAGATTACAGAAAGAGCTAGCAGTTCTCATTATAATAGTTAAAAAATAAATAATGTAAAGGGAATTTGCTGAAAATTTCAGTCAAATTCATCCACCCTGAACCAAGTATTTAATGATTAAATTTTGGGCCTAGCCTCGATCATCATAACTATAGTCGGTACGGTAAAAAAAACCCCATGGTCTCGATTATCCATTTTTTGATTTAATCAGAAGTAGCAGACTGGGCTCTAATTCAGTATATATCACAGGCTAGCGATGCCATCGAGCGTTGATTATGGTCTGGATAAGTTAATTAATGTCTAATTAATAATTTAGATAACATTCCAGGCCTAAAGAAAGACCTGCAAATTGACAGATTTAGCTCTTGCATAATGTCTGTTTAATATTGATGAATTAAATGTTCATATACTGATCTTTTCTAAGGAAACATCGAATGTTCATATTCATAATTAAGTTAACAGAAATTTAAGTTACCGGTGACTTCCTTGGATTCAATTTCTTTGTTGTTACGCTTTTCTGTAGAAGAATTAAGGTTGATAGTCTCCCTAACCCTTCTTTTAATCTTCGATGTGTGGACCCAGAATTTTTGTAAACATCTGAAATATTCATAAAATCAAAATAAAAAAGGTTCCTACATACAAAACAAAAGGTTCAGATATAATTAATTTTATTTCCATGCTTGTTGATTATTCATACCGGGAACAAGATTATTTCGAATTTAAAAGTAAAAGGATTTGACAGGTCAAGGTCAGTCATAAATAAATATACAATTTTAATTTTTATGGAGCTGCTCAGTTAAAACTTTGACCTTTAAAAAAAATAATAATTAGTAATTCATAAAATTAAAGTAAAAGAAGATTGTTGAGAGAGAATCGTCATGCTGTCACACACTCATCGGGTGTAGTATTCGTCAATTTCATAACAAATTGCAAGTAGACTAGGCCTAGCTACGGCACTAATGTAAACAAACCTATATGCATACAACTTTGATGAGAGAAAGGGTAAAATCTAACGGGCAAACATGAAAATACAGACATTCAGCTAGTATGGGTTTAACTTAACTTCACTGTAGGTTGTCAGGGTGGACTGCCAACTAGAATCTACGTATTTTACGTTACAAATATGTTTCAGCTGTCATGATTGGTTGAGATATTTTTTTTATGCAGTCAGCACATGTGTTGTACTCTGAGATTCTCCTTTTCAATTGATTGACACTTTTGGGGGAATTGAAAGAATTTAATTCCGGAACGTTCAATCGAGTATACCCAATATGAAATTATGGGAAACAGATAAAATCGGATAATGAAAATCAATTGTATACAATATTGATAACAAGTGAAAAAAGAAGCAGTGATATTTTTAAAATAATTAAAAATTGATCATAAAAAAGAGAATGCCTTAATATTGACACGACATCAAAGTATTCATATATTAAAAATTATTACTCAGTAGAAATTCATAATACAAACCGGGGGGTTGGATGGCCGAATGGTTAGCACGTGCGTGCTGTGTCTTAAGGTCTGTCATTGAGTCAACTGGCGTGGCTTCGATTCCCCGGTTGTACGTGACAAGGAGTAGGGTCGCCTATCTGTTCAACCTCGCGCAAGCCAATTATAGAAATAAAATTGAACCATGTGTTAGTCTCGAAATGACCTAGTTTGTGTCGAGTGGACATTAAACCCCATCTCTCTCCCACCAACCTAATTTTTTGTTACAATTATTCGTAAAGACAGGTATTACCTAAGATTGTTGCAATCTAAACATATGTCTTTCAAAATTCTGGATTGATGTTGCAATCTATTGTAAATATTTTTAATCAATGTGTAATTTATGCATTCATGCATGTAAAATACCAAATAAAGGATGGAAAAATATTGTAAAAATATGTCTAACAGGACAATAGATTTCTAGGTATTCATTGTGAAATACGAAATCCGGGTTGAATTGAGGACAAATGTCATGGATCGATATGTACTGATGGCGGTTTTTTTCTGTGTTGACCTCATAAAATGTTTACAGTTTCACTAGAACCTTCTTTCTCATGAATAGGACTAAATACTTTACCCCATATATAAACAAAACGGAGGCCATCTTGTTGCGTGCTTTGCCCCTTCTACCTACGTACGTACGGTATGCCTTTATGTTCATATGTTCAATTAATACTCTGAAAAACACCTTTAAAGCCTCTTTCTAGGGAATCTTATTGCGCTAAAGTTTTTGTGTCATTTTAGGGCAATAAGATTCACTGGTAAACTGCAATTATGTGATAGATGACTCTAATAGGTAAATCGGTCCAAAAATCTTTCAATTCCGTTCACTATTTACAAAGATAGGTGGAATATAAAATTTCAAAAATCTATGCTGCTCGCTATATATAATAAGCCCACCGCCATTTAAGTATACTAATTCTTTATCCATGTATTAAAGCCTTGCGGTCATGGTACAAATTTGACATATTAAAGTGACATTAAGTACACTTTCAATTTTTACCATCTTGGTGTTACGTCATAAACTAATAATTTCTAAATGTATGATAAACATATAAATACAATAAATAAAACGGTATACAAAGTAGCGAAAGAAAAGTTTGGTATAGAAAATGAATAGAGTTTAGAATGTTATAATGAAATGAAATGGGGTTTAATGTCCCACTGTTCTGCTCATATATACTGGGCTAATGAAGACTGGCATACGCCATACAGTGTGCTATGAGGGAAATTTTGCCCGGGCAGCGGCACTATCGCCTACTCTTATATCGAATTCCAACTGAAAGGGGATCTTTTACGTGCATTCCAATGTATACACGGGACCTCGGTTTTTCGTCTCATCAGAAGAACTAGACAGCTGTCCTTGTCAGGCCCTCCGTCCTGCATCGGTCAATGCAGGGATCGAACACCCGACCTCCAGGCTAGCGACCTAACGTCTTATCCACTTAGCCACGTGATCCCAATGATATCTACAATCTATTGTGTATGAATAACTATATAGAGGATATTTGTCGTTTTGTCGTGAATAACATATTTTATTTCATCTCTAAGCAAGAAAACGTTTATATTTTCACTCATGCGTGAAAATATAAACGTTTTCTTGCTTAGAGATGAAATAAAATATGTTATTCACGACAAAACGACAAATGTTCTATTTATTTTATGATTTTACAATCATTTTAGGTAAAACAACTAGCCAGTGGAATAACACTTTTATTCCACTACTGATCATAAAATAAACTGTGATATATGACTAACAGGATATACGCTTTATGCAGAGGTTAATATTTATTTGCGCATCTCAATTGACACTTTGTATCATACGTGTTAACTGCGTAGATAATATTTTAATCTAAGACTATCGTTATGTCGAGCATCTTAAAGGGACAATAACACTCTTGCTGGCTTGACAGCTCCAGAAAATAAAAAAATAGCCTTATTCTAAGTACTAGATCTGTTAGTGTCCTACCTGTTGTGTAAATTATCCATTAAATCCTATTTTACTTGTCCAAAGGGTTCAAAAATATTTTTAAATCCAAGTCACATTTGAAAAGCTTTACGTCAGGCTTTTCAAATCATTTAGTTGAATTTTTCTAATTTTTTAAATTAGGTGTGTTAAGATGAAATTTGTATCATCAATTAATTGGAATATTGTCAAATAGTACAATTTGTTGACCAGAATAAAGATTGGGACATATTATTCAGTTACAACAAGAGTGGTATTGAGCCTTTGAAAGAAAGTGATATTCATCTCTGCACCCCTGTAGTTCACATAATATAATAAACGACATATTTTACATTCGTCTGGCAATTTACACCATAAATATAGCGTGTTTATAAATAAGTATGATCCTCAGCGAAATTTACTAAGCGCTCGCTTAAATGTTTTGTCATATTATGTGAAATAATGGGTCGCGATGAGGAAATTTTACAAATTGAGTTATTATTATTTTCATATTCTTCATCTCAATAGATTCAAAATGATTTATGGTTGGTTTGAATCAGGCAAAAATTGACTGAGCTGTTCCATGCAGGAAAGTGTGTGTGTGTGTGTGTGTGTGTGAGAGAGAGAGAGAGAGGGTTAATGTCATTTCGGGACTAACATATGGTTCAATTTTATTTCATTAATTCGCTTGCGCGTAGGTTCTTTAGTAGTGGAAGGAAACCGGAGGACCCGGAGAAAACCCACGAGGTTGGACCATGTACCTTATAATACATTATTATAAGGTCCATGTTTGGACCAATTTAATTAAAATACAGATCTATTTCGTTTAGTTTTATTATACTTTCGATGGCCTACACTACATGTAAAGTCAAGTAAAACGAAATTTTGAACTATAAAAACTATAAAAAAAATCAGATTGGGGTTGGACAGACGATCGTAGTCCTTGTCACATACAAGCGGGGAATCGAAATCACGCCAGTTGCGCATAAGGATCTTTAGTAGTGGGAGGAAACCGTCGTATTACAAGGTCTGTCAACTGGCGTGGTTTCGATTCTTCGGCTGTATGTAACAAGGAGTAGGGTCGCCTGTCCAACCTCCTGGGTTTTCTCCGGGTCCTCCGGTTTCCCCCCATTGCTAAAGTGCAAGCGAATTATTGAAATAAAATTGAACCATATGATCTAGTTTGTATGGAGTGGACGTTAAACCCCATTTCTCACTCCGATGCACTCACTACTTGCCACCTGAGTATTCACAGCGCACATCCAAACTACACCTGCAAATGTAACGTTCTAACTCACAACTAGCAGACGACATAGTTTTAACATCAACAACAATAGGCTATGTCCCAGTGCATTTGTATGCGGTCAGGGTCACTGTTGCTTTGGGGACGCGCGGTTAATATTTCTTAAATAAAATTATAATCCCACAAAAAGTGATAGTCGAGAGAAAGGGTGGCAGTAAGTATATGTGCCGAGTAAATAATGTAACATCCCAACAAACCATGATAGCCGAAACGTAGTCATTGTCTTTAAAGCTGAACTCCGATTACAAAACTACAGAAGTAATCAAATATAAAATAAACACCCTAAATAATTAATCGCCATACTTGTTTTCAAGTTGTAGAACAATCATGGACGATTGTACGGCGTACAAAAACAGAGGCAGGCCACGCCTACATCCAGTTCACGCCTTATCAACCACACTGTCCACACCCGGCTAGCAATATTTCAACTACCAATTACCTTCCAACTGATTGACGTTTTTTTCACTAACAGTTTAATGAAGGTATTATTGCTACACAATTATCATATCTGATCAGGTACATATTACTTTACTAATTAGACGAAATAAATAAACCACTGTGTACTTTTGCTCTAAAAATAAGAAACAACTGCCTTACCCCAAACAATAACAAATTTCAGTTCTCCGTTTTCATAGGATATGTACCCAGAAGACCGACTTTGAGTCAGCATGTACATTGGTATTTAGCAAACTAAGAAAAAGGGGAAACTCCAAACGATATCTCCGACGTATAAAAAACAACACTCTAGCTGAACTTGCCGCCAAAGAAACAAATAATATGCAATCAAGTTAAAACCAAAATTTGTGGCCACCCAAGATGTCAAAGATGCAAAATCATAAACATATCCGACCATTTCCATAACAATACATCTTGCACACAATTCCCAATATTAAATCAACTTTTATGCAATAGTTTAAACATAATTTATCTAATTTCATGTTGACAATGTGGCAAGCATTACGTAGGGGAGACCCAAAATGCACTTCAGGAAAGAAATAACAGTCACCGATCAGACATAGTCACTCAAAAAGACAAACCGGTCTCAATTCACTTCAACCAACCAAATCATGACATTTTTGATCTCATTGTCGCGCCAATAGAAAAGGCTAAGAGCGATTTTGAAACTACAGAAGAAATTAAAACGTTTAGGCTAACAAGAGAAAAATTTTGTTTTAAATATTCATACGACTAGCGCAATAGCCCCTTTTGTAGTCCCATTTAGCGCAACAGCAGCAAGTACATCAAAAATTATCAGAAAACACTATCCTGATCTCCAAGAAAATCACCTGAAAATCTTCACACAGAAACTTATAATTGCATATTCTAAAAATAAAAATCTGAACGACATCTTAGTGCACAGTAAATTAGACTAAATAACACCAGTACTCACCCTAACCCAAAACAAACAACATATCAAACCCTATCCTAACCCTTAGCAAATAAAATCAACTAGTTATGAAAATCCCTAGCTGGCCTTAACAAATAGATTTACCCTATACAGTGTTTCATCCTTTGCTCGTTACAGTAGTTCCTGTTTAAGGCTATGGCGCCTCGCCACGTCAAAGTGCAAGGTCAAATTTCATATGTAAAAAAACAAGGAATTTAATAGGTCGCCGAAAGAATCCATGGACGAAATAACCAGGGGATGGGGAGGAGGAACAGTATCATCAATATTCAATTCTTTGATAAACCTGATTTACAGTGACCTTAAAATGTTGTGTGAACTTCCGATGAGAACCAGTCACATGCTATGAGTTCATATAAAGATGTTAGAGTAATACTTGATTGCACCGAGTTCATTTTTTCGAAACCCAAGTAAATTAGAGGAAAAGAAACATTTTTTTTTTCAAATTACAAACATCATATCATTTTCAAATTTCTTCTTTGCATCAGCCCCAGTTAGAAATGCCATGTTTGTCATGCCATGGGCGGTCGTACTTCAGACAGACATATAACATCTGATTCAGCAGATCTGTTGCAGAGACAGATGTTTTGTAATGAAAGGTATTTTAAGTGATGCTGGAGTGAACTTTTATATGCCATCATTTAAGGGAGAGAGAGACCTCAGTTGTCTGCTAAAGAAGGTCCATTGTCCAACATGATCTTAAGTGTGAGTATCCATACTGAAAGTGCAATTCGACGTATCACATTTTGCATGTGTCACTACAATTGTCAATGAAACGGTTATACAAATACAAATACAGTTTATTCAATACCTTTGGCCTTCAACGTATAGTACAAGTAAAGCATGTGTAACAATCAAAATACAGAACCTATGTAAAGTGATCAATATTACAAACAAAACAAAATCCAATATTATAAATAATATGAAAATACATATTTATCGCATGTGCCGTTTATACAATTCTATATACACAGATCACAATATAGTACAGTATACTCAATACATTAATATTTCGGTTCTCACGTCTAATGCTAATTTGATATAAATAGCTAGATTTTTATATACAAATTCTGATTTACATTGAAATAGTTTACGTAACTTATATTCAGAAGGGTTATTGTGACAGTATAATGGTAAGAAGTTCAAACGAAGATCTCTTAAGACTGGACATACGAGAATGAAATGAAATTCATCTTCCATTTTACGCATATTACATATGTTACATAACCTCTGGTCACGTGGTGTATTGGATCGGCGCCCCATTTCTATGCTAAGAGTATGGGTTGAACATCTTAGATTAGCCAATGCAAATTTTAGAACATGAGATAGGTTACTGTTTAAATATGGTTCACAAAATAATTCTGTTTTTATGTCAGAGTAAAATTCGCATCTACTTGATTGATTAGTGAATGTATGCCAGTCTTGGAAATTGATGTCTTGAAGTCGCAGCTTAAAAACAGACATAAAATGTTTTGTATCCCCTACGCCCTGCGCATTCCACACATAACCAAATCCAAGTCTATATAATTAATTTAACATCAGAGCACCAATTTGTCCTACCTACAAGATCCAAGTTGTATAACATTTCGTAGCACTGCTTAGGGAGCCTGTGATTTTCCATTTGCTTTAATGTTAAGAAATACTTTATAGGTCTACACATATAGTTTACACTTAGTTCGTATCTGCCACACTCAGCTCGTGTTATAGCATTCGTAGTTTTTTGCCCGGTACAAGTCAGCCATTTGCAAAATGAATTTTGTACACTTTCAATTTCGGGTTGAAATGACTATCCTCATATTTCAGAACCGTAATATAGGATGGGAGCAACCATTGCGTCAAACAGTTTAAAGGCTAAGGTACAATTTCTATTACCTAATTTTAACTAACATACAATGCTTAATTGTGTTCAACGATTTGGAGGCGTGTAGGGCTAGTCTTTTACAACAAGAAGACCATTTTAAACGACTGGTAAACATGATACCTAGGTATTTGTAATGATTAACAGTTTTCATCTGAATTCCCCTATAATACCACTTTTCTATATGTGATAACCCACCGCCATTTTTGAAAACAACAACATTAGATTTATCAACATTCATAGACATGTTCCATTTCAAACAATACTTATCTAACATATTTAGTCTCTTTTGTAAGTCCCCAACCGTTTCAGCAAACAAAGTCAGATCATCGGCAAATAAGAGTGCAAAAACATCATTGATAGAGTTGTTAATAAATATCCCATGGCCACTATCAGTTTTCAACATTTCTATCAATTCGTTAATATACATTCCAAACAACCAAGGGCTTAAAATGCACCCCTGTCTTACGCCGGAGTTCACGTAAAGGGAGTAGATAAATTGCCATTTATCCTGATTTTAGCAGTAATAATGTGGTATATACTTTGGAGTGTGTCTATCATTGGACCATGAATGTCGTTTTTTATCAATAAGTAAAACAATTTACATCTATTTATACAATCAAAAGCTTTACGAAAGTCGATAAAAGCACAGTAAAATATACCACCTTTTGATTTCGATAGATACTTTTGAATTAGGGCATTTAGAATAAACATATTATCTATTGTGGAGTATCCCTCACGGAAACCTGCTTGTTCTTCGACTATCAACGCCTGCTCGTCTGACCACAATGTTAGTCGAGTTTTCAAAATCGATACGAATATTTTACTAATAGAGTTAAGAAGTGATATACCTCTATAGTTACCCGGATTGTTTCGATCACCTTTTTTGTGTAGAGGGAGGATTATGCTCGAAGTCCAACTCTCTGGAAATGTTCCACTAAAAAATACTGTATTAAAGAGTTTAAGCAACACTGGCAACAACTTGTCAATCCCAACCTTATAAAATTCTAATGGGATCATATCCTCGCCGCTCGCTTTACCGTTTTTCATTTTCTTGATAGCGTCTTTAATTTCTGTAACAGTTATTGGAACATTTAACTGGGATGTATCATACTCACACTTTTGACACTCCAAATTATGATCGCGAACATAAGTCGTCGGAAAGACACTAAAATCTAAATCATCAAACTCCACGGCTGGATTCAGTAGATCCTTGAAATAGGACAACCAAGTGTTTTCTTCTAAATCTGGAATATGTGGTCTCTTCCAGGACAGACAGCCTTTAATCTTCTGCCAGAAACCATTTGAGTTGTTATTTTTACATAAGTTCATCAGATCTTCTTTCAATTGTTCCTGATATTGATTCTTACTATATGCACACGCATGTTGGTACAGGCGTTTACTTTCAAGATAATCATTCAGTGTATCGGAAGTGTTTTCTCTACGAAATTCTTTCAATAGCTGATCCTTGTGCCGTTTCAATGTTCTCAGCTCGTCGTTGTACCATGGCTTATCCATAGTCCTCTGTTCACCACCTGCGCGAACACACATTCCCGATGATGTTCCAATCTTCCCCATAAGCATAACAAGTTATTTGTTTACATTTCTTCAAAATCTACCAATTATATTTAGTACCGGTACTATTATTATTATTATTATAATTCCCCTGACCCTGTCTTC